ATAGCGGTTATGCTTCGCGCCCATCTCTAACCCATAGCGGTTAGCTTCGCGCCCATCTCTAACCCATAGCGGTTACGCTTCGCGCCCATCTCTAACCCATAGCGGTTACGCTTCGCGCCATCTCTAACCCATAGCGTTACGCTTCGCGCCATCTCTAACCCATAGCGGTTACGCTTCGCGCCCATCTCTAACCCATAGCGGTTACGCTTCGCGCCATCTCTAACCATAGCGTTACGCTTCGCGCCCATCTCTAACCCATAGCGGTTACGCTTCGCGCCCATCTCTAACCCATAGCAGTTAGTGGTTCCCGCCTTTCTTTCTCTAATCCACCTTTCCCCTACTCTGAACTCTGGTCTACTCTCTTATCCTTACTCTAATACTCCTTCTAACCCTCCCTCAAATTCTTATTCTAATTCTAAACTTACTATCCTTAACTATTCTTCTATTTCTCTCTCTACCTCTTCTTCTAATTCTTTCTAATTCTCCTCTTATCCTTCTTTTATTTTCTATTTTATTTATTTAATCTTCTATCTATTTATCTATATTTTCTTTCTCTTTTTAATCTATATTCTAATCTTTAACTTACTATCTTTAACTCTTCTTATAATTCTTATTCTAATCCTAAGCTTATTAACCCTAACTCTTATTCTTATTCTTATCTAAATCCTATCCCTATCCCTATCCCTATCCCTATATGACCTGAAACCTAATATCCCTAATAGTAGTTAGTAGTTCCCACTAATATTTCTCCAATCCACTGCTCCCTCTAATCCTCTTTCTAACTCTTCCCCTAATTCTTATTCTAACCCTTATCCTTCTATTTATTCTCTTCTTAAATCCCTCTCTAATTCTTATTTTAATCCTGAACTTACTCTCTATAACTCTTCTTCTAACTCTCCTTCTATTTCTCTCTTTAATTCTGATTCTAATCTTTAATTTACTATCTTTAACTCTTCTTCTAATCTTTAATTTACTATCTGTAACTCCCTTCTAATTCTTATTCTAATCCTATACTTATTGTCCCTAACTCTTATTCTTATCCTTATCTTAATCCTAATTCTAATTCTTCTTTTAAATTCTTATTTTAATTCTTAACTTACTCTCTTTAATCCTCTTTCTAACTCTCCCTCTAATTCTTATTCTAATTCTTAATTTACTATCCTTTACTATTCTTCTTACTATCCTTCTATCTCTCTCTCTAACTCTTTTCTAATTCTTTCTAATTCTCCTCTTATCCTTCTTTTATTTTCTAATTCTTATTTTTTCTCTTCTATCTATTTATCTATCTTTTCTTTCTCTTTTTAATCTATATTCTAATTCTTAACTTATTATCTTTAACTCTCCTTCTGACTCTTTTTTTAATTCTTATTCTAACTCTTAACTTACTACCCTAACTCTTCTTTTAATTTTTATTAAAATTCTTATTTTAATTCTCTTTCTAATTTTTTATTCTAGCTCTTATTCTAATTCTCCTCTTCTTCTTTTTTTATTATATATCTATCTTTTTTTCTTTATTTATTTATTATTCTAACCTTTAACTTACTATCCCTAACTCTTATTTATATTCTAATTCTAATTCTTATTCTAATTCTTATTCTAATTCTTATTCTAATTCTTATTCTAATTCTTATTCTAATTCTTATTCTAATTCTTATTCTAATTCTTATTCTAATTCTTATTCTAATTCTCTTTCTAGCACCTTATTCTAATTCTTTTTCTAACTCTTATTTTTTTTAATTCTTTTTTAACTTATTCTTTAATTCTTATTCTAATCCTTAACTTCCTATATTATTTATTTATTTCTTTTCATCTTTATAAATTATTAAAACCTAACTTTTTTATTCTTTTTTCTAATTAAATAATCTATATTATTTTACTCCCTATTCTTCTTTTCTTTCTAATTAATTAACTTTTATTCTTTTCTTTTCTCCTTAGTAAAATAATCTCTTATAATTTTATTTTATTTCTTTTTCTCTTAATCTAACTATCTCTTATTTTTTTATTTCTTTATATCCTTTTTTTCCTCCTTTTCCTCTTTATATTATAATTAAAGTAAACCTAAGCTCTCTCTATACTTTTAAACTATTCTATATATATATATATTTACTTCTTATTACCCTTTTCTACTTTATATATTATTTAAATAATCTTTCTCTTTATTCTCTCTTTTTCTTTATTTTATCTTAAACTAATCTATTTATTATTATTTTACTTCTTTTTATTCTTATATTCTATCTTAATTCTATTTAAGTAATTAATTTCTCTCTCTTTTCTAAACTATTTCTTATAAAATAATCTCTCTTTTATATTATTCTCTTTTATCTTCTTATATATATTTATTAATAATATATATCTACTCTATTAAACTTTTTTACTTTTTAATATATCTCTCTCTTTATATATTCTTCTTTTCTCTTAAATTATTACTCTTACCCTTACTACTTTAAGTTATACTTATTATATCTATCTAGCTATTCTAAGGTAATATTTTATTCTAAATACTTTATATATATTAAAACCTAAACTACTAAACTAATCTATATATATTATCCTGCTTATATACTTAAATATAAAGATATATATATAAAGTAATTCTTATTATTATCTTTTAAATTACTATCTTCTTTATTCTTATTAGTAGTTATATCTATCCTATCTTTAATTAACTAATCTATCTACTCTTATAGAGTATATTAAATACCTATATACCTAATCCCTTATTCCCTAGCTCTAAAAGCTACCCTTATCCTCCCCCTACTATAAAGGGGCCCTATTATTTTATAGATTTAGTATATCTTATTCTACTAGATATAATAGATAGGCCTAGATAGGTCTAGATAATTATAGAATTACTAGGCTAGTATAAGTTAAATATATTTATTTCCCTTTATTATATATATTTATATGTAAATATATATTCATAAATTAAATATCTCCCTAGATCTAGATGACTCTACTATATATATAGTTACTAACTAAAGCTTTACCTACATCTGAATGACCCTACTATATATATATTTTAGACCTGTTAAAGCTGAATCACCTAGTTAAGATAGCTAACACAGGGACCTATTAAGCTAAATTACTAGGCTGAGCCATACTGAATCACCTAGTCTAGATAGCCTATGCAGAGATCTATCAAAGCTGAATTTCCTAGTTAAGAGAGCCCACGCAGGGACCTATTAAAGCTAAATCACTAGGCTAAGCCATATCAAATCTTCTAGACTAGACCCCCACACAGGGACCTATTGAAGCTGAATCACCTAGTCTAGATAGCCCACACAGGGACCTACCGAAGCTGAAACATCTAGTCTAGGTAGCCTGCTTATAGGCCTCTCCCTACTAGACCACTAAGTCTAGACCTACTCTCTAAATGAAATCCACAAAACATTAACTTCTATGAATTTTTAAAAATTCTAGGCTTAGTATTACTAAGCATACTATATATCATTCTTCTAGTTAAAATTAGGCCTATTCACTAGAAATAGTGATAATTAGTCAGCAGGTAATAAATTTTAAAGTCTTCTTTAAGAATTTTTAAAAAATCAGGAATCATGCTTACATAATCAGACTATTATCATTCTATAGCTAAAAGTCCCTACTATTCACTAAAAATATTAATTATTAGTCATCTAGTACTATACTCTTCATAAATACTAGAAATTATTTTTCTCATAATTTCTGCCTGAATTCTAAGGCTCTGCTAGGCTAATAGATGCCTCAGGCACTACTCTATACCAGGTGGTGGCCTAAAAGGGTATAGGTCCCGCAGATAGTGGTCTTGGCAGACCCCAACAAAAATTTTCAACCTTACCCCTACCCTCCTAGTTCGACCACCTTCCTGGTGAATAATCTAGAATTTAATATTAGAATATAATAATTTAGCTAATTAGAATCATAAATCATTTTAAATCATTCAAAAATATTAAGATTTGATAAAGTTAAGGGGTAGGGAGGAGTTACCCTCCTCCCCTCCCCCCTGCCAACCCTAGGATTAGTATGATGCCCTCCCCTAGGCATGGGCGCTTATACTGTTAGAGTATATTTTATACCTATATACCTAATCCCTTATTCCCTATCTCTAAACCCACCATTATCCTCCCCCTACTATAAAGGGGCCTTATTATTCTATAGATTTAGTATTTCTTATTCTACTAGATATAGTAGATAGGCCTAGATAGATCTAGATAATTATAGAATCATAAGGCTAGTATAAGTTAAATATATTTATTTCACTTTAATATACATATTTTTATATATATATATATTAAAATCTGCCTAGATCTAGATGACCCTACTATATATATATTTACTAACTAAAGGTCTACCTACATCTGAATGACCTTAATATATATAGTTTAGACCTGTCAAAGCCAAATCACCTAGTTGAGATACCCCACGCAGGGACCTATCGAAGCCGAATTATCTAGTCTAGGTAGCCTGCTTATAGGCCTCTCCCTACTAGACTACTAAGTCTAGACCTACTCTCTAAATGAAATCTATAAAACATTAACTTCTATAAATTTTTAAAAATTCTAGGCTTAGCATTACTAAACATGCTATATATCATTCTTCTAGTTAAAATATGGCCTATTCACTAAAAATGATGATGATTAGTCAGCAGGTAATAAATTTCAAAGTGTTTTTTAAGAATTTTTAAAAAATCAGGAATCATGCTTATATAATCAGACTATTATTATTCTATAGCTAAAAGTCCCTACTACTTACTAAAAATATTTATTATTAGCCATCTAGTACTAGGCTCTTTATAAATACTAGAAATTATTTTCTCATAATTTCTGCCTGAATTCTAAGGCTCTACTAGGCTAGTAGATGCCTCAGGCAGTGTCTATACTAGGTGGTGGCCTAAAGGGGTATAGGCTTCCCGCAGATAGTGGTCTTGGCACACCCCAACAAAAAAATTCGACCTTACCCCTACCCTCCTAGTTCGACCACCTTCCTGGTGAATAATCTAGAATTTAATATTAGAATATAATAATTTAGCTAATTAGAATCATAAATCATTTTAAATCATTCAAAAATATTAAGATTTGATAAAGTTAAGGGGTAGGGAGGAGTTACCCTCCTCCCCTCCCCCCCTGTCAACCCTAGGATTAGTATGATGCCCTCCCCTAGGCATGGGCACTTATATTATTTGGGACAGATTGATAGGATGATCAGGCTGGATGAGTTTATCACCTGCAGGTCCAGCGGTCCAGCAAGCGTCTGCCAGTTACTGTATCCATCCCGCAGATCATGGATGGATTGCGGTTAAAGCTTGCTTGGGGGTCTCCTGAGTCAGTGAAATGAATGGTTGGATGTTGTTTTGTTTCTTGCATATTTAACCTTGAGTAGGGTGCGCTTCTGGTTGCATTCTTTCGCTTGGATTTGTGAGACGATTGATAAGAGTATTATGATCGTTTATTATTGGATTATGCAAGAAATAAATATGGCATTATTATTAACTAAGCTCTTTTATACCTACCTACTTACTTATTGTACCAGAGGAGACTTGGACACTTTCGTTGATCGCGGCCTTAGGCATACATCTCAGGTACAGGCCGTCAACAATCCAGGCACGATGAACGATGGACCCTTTCTCTGGTTTATTCGACATCAACAGTAGTGATAGTATAATGTTTGAATTCGAACATCATCAAAAGGTCACCTCTCAATCTCAATAATTCTCCTCGCCTGTAGATAGACACGTTGAAAGTGGCAGGCTGTGACTGCTCGTGGCTTGTGGGGTTGGTGACATGATAGCATACTAGCAGGCAGCCAAGCCAGCCTCCCCCATTACCATTTCTGGTGGATCATAAATGATTTTAAATCATTTAAAAATATTAAGATTTGATCATTTTGAGGGGGGGTATGAGTTACCCTCCTCCCCCCCCCCTGCCAACCCTAGTATTAGTATGATGCCCCCCCCGGGTATGGGCCATTATAGTGTTTGGGGTTAATTATAGTAGGTCTTTTATCTTGGTTAGGAAGCCTTGCAGCCTAGTATAGGTTCTTATAAGTATAATTAACCTCTATTAGTAAGGTAGTATTAGAGGTTTAATCCTAAGAGGGGACTTAACTAAGATTTAGATTATTAGATTACTTAATAGATTAACCCTTACTAATAACCACCCCTTAGGGCTGACTCCCTATTATAATAAGGTTAGGGGCCTATATATATATATTAAGTTTAAGTATATAATAGCCTAAGGCTAAAGGGCCTGTGTTACTACCTACCCTTAGAACCTAGTAATAAGGCTAAGGCCCTAGGATATACTCTAAGCAAGGGAGAGATAACTATTAGAGGTTATAATAAGACTTAAAGATATATATATATAGGAGCTAGGCATAATTAACTATAGAGGTTAATTATAGTAGGCCTTTTATCTTAATTAGGAAGCCTTATAGCCTAGTATAGGTTCTTATATACTTATTATTACTACTTTAATTTATACTTATTAGATCTATCTCTTCTAAGGTAATATTTAAATATAAACCCTTTATATATATTAAAATCTAAACTACTAAACTAATCTATATAAATTATCCTTCTTATATACTTACATATAAATATATATATATAAAGTAATTCTTATTATTATCTTTTAAATTACTATCTTCTCTATTCTTATTAGTAGTTATATATATCCTATCTTTAATTAACTAATCTATCTACTCCTATAGAGTATATTATATACTTATATGCCTAATCCCTTATTCCCTAGCTCTAAAACCCACTATTATCCTTCCCCTACTATAAAGGGGCCCTATTATTCTATAGATTTAGTATTTCTTATTCTACTAGATATAATAGATAGGCCTAGATAGATCTAGATAATTATAGAATTATAAGGCTAGTATAAGTTAAATATATTTATTTTACTTTAATATACATATTTATTTATATTTATATATATATATATATATATTAAAATCTGCCTAGATCTAGATGACCCTACTATATATATATTTACTAATTAAAGGTTTATCTACATCTGAATGACCTTAATATATATAGTTTAGACCTATTAAAGCTAAATCACCTAGTTAAGATAGCCCATACAGGACCTATTAAAGCTGGATTACCTAGTCTAAGATACTATACATAGGGACCTATTAAAGCTAAATTACTAGACTAAGCCATACTAAATTAACTAGTCTAGATACCCTGCTCAGGCACCTATTAAAGCTAAAATATCTAGTTAAGATAGCCTACATAGGGACCTATTAAAGCTAAATTAACTAGTCTAGATAGCCTATATAGGGACCTATCATATCTAAATAATCTAGTCTAGGTAGCCTACTTATAGGCCTCTCCTTACTAGACTACTATATCTAGATCTACTCTCTAAATGAAATCCACAAAACATTAACTTCTATAAATTTTTAAAAATTCTAGGCTTAGTATTACTAAGCATACTATATATTATTCTTCTAGTTAAAATTTAGCCTATTCACTAAAAATAATTATAATTAGTTAGCAGGTAATAAATTTTAAAGTAGCTTTTAATAATTTTTAATAAACCAGGAATTATACTTATATAATTAGTCTATTATTATTCTACAGCTAAAAGTCCCTACTATCTACTAAAAATAAATAATTAGTTATCTAGTACTAGACCTATAGTAAATTTATTATTTTAACCAGTAACCCTTCAACCAGAGCCCAAAAGTCAATGGCTCTGGCCAAAATCTGTTATCCATTCACATTAGGATTTCGGCCAGAGCCATTAAATGCCCTTTTAGCTCCGGCCGAAATCCATCTATTTGCATCAGGATTCTGGCTGGAGCCATTCCCTTTTGGCTCTGGCCGAAATCCTTTAACTCACCACATTAGTTTTTCCAGCCCCCATTTCATTTCTAGAGCAATTCTATTTTAGCTCTAGCTGAAATGCAGTGATATCAACATTTACCCCTATTTCAAAGCCTAATAAGACTTCCCGCCCACTGCCATTCACCTCCTGTACTGATTAATCTAAAACTAACCAACACCCCCTGCAACATGGACTCCATGCATAACATTATTATAATTTCATAAGTGCCTTACAAGTATCCCACTATCCATTAATTTGAACACACTGGGAATGGCAATAGCTAGTAAACCCAGTCTATACTTATATAGCACTACATACCAGGTAATTTTCTGCCTTAAATGCTGCATTGCAGTTCCTATAAAAGTTAAGTACAGACATCTCATTAACATGCATAAGGTGCCCCCTAAAAACTAAGACCATCACCTACAATACATTCCATCTAATGCAAAGCCACGCCATGATTACTTAGACTTCCTAATTCCACCACATATAATACCTGTTCCCCACCTAAAGATAGTTAATCTATGGCACTGCCCTGACTGCGATTTCCTAACTCCATCTTGTAATTTGATTAGGAAACATTGTTAACAATAACATCTTGGTCTAGGGCTAAGTCTAGTTCAAGTCTAGGGCCAGCAGTGGTTCCATGGATTACTAAAGACTAGATACTGGGTGATCAAGACTAAGGATCTACATTAATAAGGTGCTTACGCGCCTGAGATTAGGTCTTCACCACCTTTAGTGCAGCGTGAGTTGGAGATAATTTCAGATAGTATCTATATAAACCTATAACATCCTCACTGATATTTTGCTAATACATGCTGTAGATGCAGATATCCCTAATTCACAACCATCAGGTCCAGAACTAGCTAGAGTTCTAGGTAAGGATTTATACATTATATCTAAAATATGCTAACTAGCTAATCCTTCTAGTCCCTAACTCACAGCCCGACTCGCAGTTAACTGAACAAACTAAAACTAAGACATGTGATTCAAGATAAACACCATTAATTTAAGTACCCACTCAACCAGCATGGATTTCCAGGCTTATATATGAAGAGACTTGAGTTCATAATGTTCAGAAATACTCATCTAATGCGCTGGGTAAAGATTCTATCTTATTACCTTTACTAATATATGCTAACCTCTCTAAGTTCCAGACTCCTATATTAGCACTAAACCTGTCCCTAGTCTGGTTCTAAATATAGAAGACATGGCTGGATATGCTGCTGGTCCCTCTCTAAACTCAGATGATATATTTCTCCTTAATAACCACCATCTTAATAATAATATTACTCCTTGGCTTCAATCCACAGAGTGGTTGCACTACTTTCACAGATGCTTGTTAGATGGAATGGTTCAGGCAGCTAGATATGTTAGTATATCATAGTCTATCTATAAGCTCCAGCCATTCTGGGGTGCGCTAGATGTTAATTACTAATTTAAGCAAGCGCTAATTAATCACAGTAACCAGATACTCACCATGATCCTGGTGACCTTTAATTATATTATAGAGCAAGCATTTCAAACACTCTGCCAGACACCTACCTCTATTAAGGAAGTGTTTTTAAGTCTAATTATATAATACTAAGGAAAGCATCCACTTAACTTCCTAAACCCTAGCATAGAGAAGGGTTATATCTAGGTCTGGAGACAGCTTCTTTGCTTTATCTTCTGCAGTGTGCCTCTTAGAGATAATAAAGTGCGATAGTCAAAGCTTAGGGTATTTTTAGATCCTTTACAGGAATGGGAAGCTACTCTAATATAGGATTAGCTTAACTACTTCCTTAAGAGCTATATTAAAGATAGTTTCACCAATCCTGATCCCTTGGAAGATAGGCCTACTAAATAATCACAAGATCTGGAGTTTGGCTCACAATGTGCTATTGGCAGCTAAGGATCTACTAGCTATTAAATTAAGCAGCAGGGGCCTTCAGCCCAACAGCAACTTCAGACAAAGTAATAACAGCTCTTAGAGTAATAGCTATTTTAGATACTAGTTAGTGTGGTTATTCCACCTCCATCCAAAACCTATAATATATAGGCAGTATCTTAAGGTTTAGGGAGCTTTCCACCCAGAGAGCAAGCCCCTAATATAGTTCTAACCCTAATGATAACAAGATGTGGAGGTAGGAAGTCAAAGGTTATGTCTAAGAAGAGGAATATAAACCCTTATTTATAATAGCTACATCATTACAACTGCCTTTCTATCATGCAATCCTTAAGTCAGTTAATTAACCCTTTAGGAGATGACACTGAAGTAGCTTTAGATAGAAGTAATAGATCTGATGGTACTAATCCAAGCTTTACTATAGATAAGCTTAGATTAGGCTAAGCATCATTATTCTCAGGTACTGAGAGTGACTACTCTAATAACTAGTTTCCCCCTGAAACTACAAAGCCCAGACTTGGAGACCTAAGATATTAAAATAATAATTATATCCTGCGCTGCCTTCCCTTAACTAGTCAGGCCTGGCTGGAAGAGTGGCTTTTTTTATTCTGCATTAGGTTGCTTACTAGAAAGGCTGGCCACACACATGGTGATAAATTTTAAAATATGATTGTTGCTTTTACTGCCATGTGTGGAATCTAACCTAAGATAAAGAGCTTCTATAATCCTTACAGCTATACTTCCAAACTTATAGCTCTCTTATGGGTATCATGGATATTACTATTAGAATATGCCCTGCCAGTCAAGCCCTATAGGTTTATTCCTGATATCCGTCCCCATACTAAATATCTGAATTACCTTAACTGGGCACTGTTAGTACACAGTACCTTTACTAGATGGGATAGTTAGTATCCCATGGCTAAGCTCCTGCAGTTGATAAGCAAAGGGCTCAGTATTACATGTTACTAGAAGCAACCCCTAAATGTGCACTAATTAGATG